TACCTGGTAATGTACAATAACGGCCAACCCCCGGATCAAACAAACCGGGACGATAGGTTGGGTTCGAGGTGGCCCAGAGCAACGCGGCGTGGCTTCTTGAGGCGGGGCACTGTAGCAACAACGGGGGCGCGTCGGCCAACAGCACCCAGGTCAACTGCGAAAAGAGGTGAGGAGGCTGGGTTGTCGTAGACCTCGTCGTTGTTGTCGCGTCTGCTCTGGGCCGGTGTCGCTGTCGCTGTTGGTGCTGTTGGTGCTGTTGGTGCTGTCTTTTCCTTCTTTTGCCGCTTCCTTCCCCCTCCCCGTCTCTTGTTGCTTGACTTTGGTCAAATGTGCCTGTGGTATTATAGTGTTGTGCGTGCATGCTTGCCATCCTCACTCCCATCCCGCGATTCAACCCCCGGTGTTTTGTCCGGTTTTGGTGCTGCACACACATACACACACAAACACACATGGTCCGACGATGATTCGTGGGGCGAGGAACAGGGCGTTGCGTCTGTACGAGCACGCGGCGAGGCAGGGGAGGGCATCCGTTGAGATGAAGGTCGGCAACTTCCACTACCACGGGAAGGTGAGAGGGGCACGAGGGGGGGGGGTGGGGGGGGGGGGGGCGTACTCTTATGCTTTGCATGCCTTAGCGGTTAGACCATTGACCACGCGTCCTCGAGAGGACGGAGCATTGTTCCCACAGGACCGATCACCGATGGCCAATCGTTCCTTCCTACTTTGCCAAAGGTGGCTCAAAAATGTCTTCCCTAGTCTGTCTATCCTACCGATGTCACTTCCCGCCTTTTCAAACCACTTCCTACTCCCCAGTACCGCTACCGTCCTCTCCTCTCTATTCCATGCCTCAAACATCTCCCTGTACGTCCCTTGTATTCTTCCCAGCTCAGTCATGTACACTTCCCTCTCCTTTTCGTACCACGGACATTCCGCGACTACATGAACACTGTCTTCGCATTCGAAGCCGCAATCACATTTGAACTTGTCGTCTTCGTCGTCTACCGTCCTATGTCTTCGTCGACGTTCGCGAAGGCCTATGTCCCCGGTCCTGAATTTGACCTTAAGCTTTGTCCCTGCATCCATTGGTCCATGTAGGTAATCCTTGAACCCT